GAAATTTATTTCAGCCAATTGAATCATATACAGGTGCATAATTTTGGTTTGACATTAGGTTACAGTAAGGCGATTTGAACGATAAGCCGGCAGTGGATTTTGCATTATCTCGGCTGTCTATGAGTAACTGATATTAACCTAGTTTGAAGAATAAAGTTCCTATTATATTCTTCAAACTACACAACCTGTATGTCATAGTGTCTACTTGAGGGGTGTTTTCTAAAAGTTTTTTTATATACATTTTGTGTTCTATCATTCATTTTGAGGGACTTGGTTACAACGTACTATGGTTATAACGTACAAATTCTTAATTCCCCCGAGGTACGTTGTAACGAAGTTCGACTGTATTCATTTTTATTTTGAATGTCATTTTTTTGTGACTTTGCCTATATCTTGGGACAAATCTCTGTGTCTTCTTAAACCAGACCATTACAGTTAAGGAGGATGACATTCACCCCATGAACCCTCCAAAGTACGATAAAATGGAGGACATGGCCATGATGACCCACCTCAATGAGCCAGCTGTGCTGTTCAACCTCAAAGAGCGTTACGCAGCATGGATGATCTACGTAGGTTTTTCCATTACATCTGTTTTATGTGTCCTTTCATATAAAAAAGTACATGTATGAATAAATGTTTACTTTCTGTATTACAGACCTACTCCGGGCTGTTCTGTGTCACTGTGAACCCCTACAAGTGGCTCCCAGTGTACGACGCTGTTGTTGTGTCCGGCTACAGGGGCAAGAAGAGAATTGAAGCTCCTCCCCATATCTTCTCCATCTCTGACAATGCCTTTCAGTTCATGCACACAGGTATGAATAACCCAAAATGAGAATCTAGTGGTTTTTAGTTAAATAAGTAGTCATTTGGCATATTGGACATATTATCTCTTGAAAACTGCTAGTTATGCAATGTGGGTATTTAGGGGTGAAAACTATGCATGGTTACAAAACATAAAACAACACATTTCCTTATCATTCTTACAGATCGTGAGAACCAGTCAGTCTTGATTACGTAAGTATCTCAGTGCTATCTAACCTTAACAAAAAAAGACCAGCTTGAAAACCAAAACGTGCATTACACCTGAGTCTATATCCCATACTCACCCATAGTGGAGAATCCGGTGCAGGAAAGACTGTGAACACCAAACGTGTCATCCAGTATTTTGCCACAGTCGGTGCTTCAGACAAGAAAAAAGCTGAGCCTGTTCCTGGAAAAATGCATGTGAGAGAGAAAAACAAGGACTATTAATAAGGAACATATATACAGAAGCAAGGGTCTC